ACGACGTGGGTATTCACCCACGAAAGCTTATGCTCCAATACATCTGTTAATCTATAAGGTGCCACAGGACTCTTTGTTGCTTTTTATAGATCCAGACTAACACGGCTACCCCTCTGATACTTTTATACAAAAGTTCTTATTTTACTGTCTTGCCATGTTAGATTCTCCAATTATTTTAGCTTTCAAAGAGCCCCTTATTTATGTTGCAATCTTACCTTCCAAGTGATCCACGTAGCAATATACATCATAAGTTTCATTGGGAAGACGGAATCCATATGTTCTAACTCCTTCCTTTCCCATTTTATCTCCATAGCAGCCAACTCTGGGTTGCCTGATTGGATATCTGGAATACAGTAAGTTAATATTTATTGTTACAGTACATTAACATTTTATTGCATTTTAAGTATGAACAGATCAAGCCAATAAATTTTGGGAAATGCTGTCAAAAGGCAATTTGAACAACTCACCTAACAGTTTGGTCAGACAACCAACCAGCATCGCATTGCTCAAATCCATCTTCATATGCAGCTTTCAGCTGATCAGGGTTTGCTATGACAGCACCATTGTTCAAACAAGCCTGCTGAGCATGCTGAAAATTCAGGGTATATCTACTGGTTGCGGCACGATAGTGAAACACAACACCTACAAAGACAACAAACTCATGGTAGTGACAAGTTGCATCACATCTGCTATATTCATTATACAGTAACATTATCCTGATACAACTATAATAAAAAAAAAAGAATAAGGTGACTCCCTCTTTGTACAATAATAACAACATGCTGTTACAAGATATTCAGTAGTAAGTATGATCATGTCTCCCTCTAGTGATGGCCACTAATGACTAGATAACAGCCTGCTACTACTAAGAGTTGGAGAAATTCTTTTAGCTCAAGTGGTAGAAACCTGTGATTTTGGTGAAGAAGGTCCCTGGTTTGATCTCTACATGATGTCTGTCTCTGCAGCCCAGATTAGTTACAAATATAGTAATACTATTTATAAACATCTGAAGATTGGTCACTTTTTATATTCTATACAATTATATTTTCTTTTATGTACTAAAAATATTACAAGCTACATAAAGCTTTCTTGTATTTGCGGATTCCTGATTATGGCAATTGGCAGAATTTAGAAAATAAAAATTAAAAACTTCAGAGCATTAAAAAAAGTTTAGTTCTAGTTAGGGGCCAATTCTGTTCTCAATATAAGTGCAAATCCCACTGACAGCAGCAGCAGCTGCACATGCATATCTAAGAGTAGAACTAATGGCTAAATTGCCCTGTTCTGTTCATTGCCTCAGAAGCATCTGGCAGCAGTCACTGTCAGAAGACAGGATCATAGACTAGAGGGACCACTGGTCTAACCCAGTATGGCCACTCTTACGTTCTTATGACTGAAAAAGTGTACTAACATTCAATGGGCATAAATTTTTTTTTTTTTAAACTCTTCAAGATCATTCTTCCCCTATCGCCATGCCTTTAAAGTTAAACAACAATGGATGCTGCATGATGATCTTTGAAAAATACTACACCTCTACCCCGATATAACACTGTCCTCAGAAGCCAAAAAAATCTTACCGCGTTATAGGTGAAACCGCGTTATATCGAACTTGCTTTGATCTGATGGAGCACGAAGCCCCGCCCCCCTGGAGCGCTGCTTTAGCAGGTTATATCCGAATTCGTGTTATATTGGGTCGTGTTATATCGGGATAGAAGTGTATATAGTAGAACCTCATTAATCACTGAAGTATCAATTACACATTACTAAGAGTTATGAACTAGCAAATAAATCTCTGTGTTTAATAAAAAAGGTAAATATATTATACAATGTGCTTGTTCTTCTATTTTGACATTTTAATTTTATTGTAATATTTAATTATGTGCTCATTAATGTACTCTGATATATTATGAAGAAATGATGGAGCCTTCGTAATATGCGATTTCACTACAGTTTTTTGACATTAAAACTTTGCTGAGAAGCAGAAAAAGACCATTATTTTCTGTATGAACTTGAAAGTGGTAAAGTGCAGATTAAAGTAGGTCTATAATTTTTAGAAATGATTTTGCGCATGAGGACAAATTCAGATCTGGTGTAATTTCAGTGGCTTCTGTGGAATTAATTGTCATAATCAGAAGTCTGAATGTGAACCATAGATGGTATACATTCATAGATTCATAGACTTTAAGGCCAGAAGGGGCCACTGTGATCATCTTGTCTGACCTGCACATCGCAGGCCACAGAACCTCACCAACCCACTCCTGTAATAGACCCATAACTTTTGGCTGAGTTACTGAAGTCCCCAAATCATGGTTTAAAGACTTCAAGTTACAGAGAATCCACCACTTACTCTAGTTTAAACCAGCAACTGGTCCATGCCACATGCTGCAGAGGAAGGCGAAAAGCCCCCAATTCTCTACCAATCTGACCCGGGGAAAATCCCTTCCTGACCCCAAATATGGCAGTCAGTTAGACCCGGAGCATGTGGGCAAGATCCACCAGGCAGATAACTGGGAAAGAATTCTCTGTGGTAACTCAGAGCCCTCTCCATCTTGTGTCCTACCTCTAGCTGTTAGGGATTTTTAATACAGGCAGTCACCAATAGGCCACATGCCATTGTAGGCAGTCCCACCATACCATCCGCTCTTGAAGCCAGTTAGGTTTTTTGCCCCCACTGCTCCCTTTGGAAGGATATTCCAGGATTTCACTTCTCTGATGGTTAGAAACCTTCATCTAATTTTAAGCATAAACTTGTTGATGGCCAGTTTATATCCATTTGTTCTTGTGTCAACATTGGCACTTAAATAACTCCTCTCCCTTCCTGGTATTTATCTCACCTCAGCCTTCATTTGGTTAGGCTAAACAAGTCAAGCTCCCTGAGTCTCCTCTTGTAAGGTAGGTTTTCCAGTTTTCTGATCATCCTACTAGCCCTTCTCTGCCCCGTCCCAGTTGAATTAATCTTTCTTAAACATGGGAGACCAGAACTGTACACAATATTCCAGAAGTGATCTTACCAGTGCTTTGTACAATGGTATTAACACATCCCTATCTGTACTGGAAATACTTCGCCTGATGCAGCCTAGGATTGCATTAGCCTTTTTCATGACCGTATCACATTGGTTGATCACAGGATGACTATGAACCACCAATTACATTCTGGTCTCTCTCTTCTTCTGTCACTTTCAACTGATAAATCCCCAGTTAATAGCAAAAATTCTTGTTGTTAGTCCCAAAGAGCATGACTTTGCACTTTGCATTATTAAATTTCATCCCATTTCTTTTACTCTAGTTTTCAAGGTCATTCAGATCTTTTTGCATGATATTCTGGTCCTCCTCAATATTAGCAATCCTAGCTTTGTGTCATCCTCAAATTTTATTAGCACATTCCCACTTTTTGTACCAAGGTCATTAATGAAAATGTAAAATAAGATTGGTCTCAAGACCAATCCCTGAGGAACTCCACAGGACCTGGAAACCAAGCGATTCCAGGGGACAACTAATGAAATAACAGGGACAGGAGTGTAGTCAAAGGGTCAAATGAAGGGAACCTGATGAGGACACGGAGCAGAGGCAGAAGGAGAGTGATAGCGGGGAGATATGTAAGCCCCAGGATGATGAGAGGCTTATTCCCTGTAGAGGGAAGAGAGGTTGCTATAAGATTAATTAGAGCACCTGAAGCCAGTCACCTGATAAAAAACCCCTGCTTCAATCAGACAGAGGAAGGAGTTGAAGCAGAGTAGTTTGGTGTTGGAGCAGAGAGCAGTTTGGAGAAGTGCTGTGGCGGGCCAGAAGACCAAGACCCTAGGTAAAGGAAAACCCAGCTTGTGCAGAGCAGAGGGACTCCACAGAGACAAGGGGTTGGGAGAAACTTGGCCCAAGCAGAGAGAGGGCAGGAAGCCCCACAAGTTGAAGGACCGGAGAGGGAAGTGGCCCAGGGGAAAGAATCGCTAGTTTGAGTGGTTTGCTGCTATCCCTAGTGCCCCGGGCTGGTACCTAGCATAGAGAGCGGACCCGGGTCCCTCCCTCTCCACTCCCCTTCTCTGGGACACTAGTGGGACAGTTGATACCCCAGATCAGGGGCAAGAAACGGTGCCCTGAAACCCCCCCCCCCACAAGAGGAGAAAGCGCGGGACCTGTCATAATAGTGCTGGCAATTTGCCACATCTGGTGTGATCTACCTTTTGTACAACCATGTTTTATGTTGTACAATGTCCCGATTACTGTTTACCTCTCTGTCCTTAACTACTTTCTCTTTCAAAATTTCTTCTAAAACCTTTCATACAATTGAGGTCAAACTAACAGGCATGTAGTTTCCTGGATCACTTTTTCCCCTTTTCTTAAAAATAGCTGTTATATTAGCAATTCTCCAGTCCTGGGTATGACCCCCAAATTTACAGATTAATTAAAGATCCTTGCTATTGGACTTGCAATTTCATGTGCCAGTTCCTTTACTATTCTTGGATGAAGATTATCTGGGCTCCCTGATTTGGTCCCATTAAAATGTTTGAGTTTGACTTTCACCTCAGATGTGCTAATTTCTACTTCTATATCTTCATTTCTATTACCCACCTTGCCATTAGCCCTAAGATCCTCATTACCCTTATTAAAAATGGAGGCAAGGTATTCGTTTAGGTGTTGGGCCATGCCTAGATTATCTTTAATCTCCTCCCCATCCTCAGGGTTTAGAGGTCTCACTTCTTCTTTCGTTGTTTTCTTTTATTTATATGGCTATAGAACTTTTTACTATTGTTTTTAATTTCCTTTGCAAGGTTCAATTCTGCTTGGCTTTTGGCATTTCTCACTTTTTCCCCTATACTTTCTGACCTCCAAAAGGTAGCTTTCCTTGCTAATCCTTCTCATCTGCCATTCCTTGTAGACTTTCTGCTTTCTAGTAATAACCTATTTAAGATGCTTGTTCATTCCCTATGAATTTTTTCCCCTTGCTTTGGATGCAGTGGCGGCTCCAGGCACCAGCGCTCCACGCATGCCTGCGGGAGGTCCACTGGTCCCGTGGATTTGGCGGCAATTCGGCAGTGGGTATGCCGAAGCCGCGGGACTAGCGGACCTCCCGCAGGCATGCCGCCAAAGGCATGCCTGCCGTGCTTGGGGCGGCAAAAAAGCTAGAGCCACCCCTGTTTGGATGCAGGCTTCAGCTAGCTTTGCAGCTTTGATGTAAAGTAATTCCAAGCCTCATCCCATATTCAGATCCTTGAGTTCTTCAGTTCAGTCCATTTCCTTAACTAATGCCCTTCATTTTTTTTAAGTTTCCTCTTTTGAAATCAAGGACCGTAGTTGCAGACCTGTTTTTGTTTATCCTTCCATTCAGTTTAAACTGAATTACCTCATTTCTCTACCCTTGTCATGTTTTACTAAGGAAATTTTCCAGTTGAAATAAAAAAAATCTTGTGTAAAACACCCTAATCCTTTCTACATCAATTAATTCAATGGCACAGATAGAGAACAGGATCAGAATCTGGTCTCCATTGCAGCAGTGTACATGCATAATGGAAACAATGGAAATACTCCAAATTTCTTCAGGTCTGGCCAAGCTGTGTTTGACGTGGGACCTAAGTGGGACAAGACCCTGACACAACTCCCATGCTGGGAAGGAGCTAAGATGGCAAAGCGTAGTGCCAGCTATGTTA